TTATTTGTAGTCTTGTGGTCATCTCACATTAACCGCTGCAAGAAAAAAAAACATGTTTAAAAATTTTAATAATCGAGAATTTGTAGGAAGCACGACAATTTTCTGATCACGTCTGGTATTATAAAAATTACGGATGTAATAAACGATTAAAAATAATAATTAATAAGAATTACAGTAATTTGTTCTCCTAATTTCAAGGCAAATGCAGGGATTGAATGAAGAAATAAGATGGAATTTAATGAGGATTGAGCGTTTTAGAATTATTAATTGTATTGCCTTTTGGTTATTCGTATCAGTTAGTTAAATTGAAACCATCTTTTATAATTCAAACTTAATTTTCACATATGATGCTTCATAAATAACAGTGTTATTAAAACATATTTTACCAACGAAAATTATAAGTAACGATAACGTTATATTTGACGAATGTTGAAAAATTATTAAAAAAAATTTCAAGATGTGCTCGAATTACCAATATTGAAGATTTCTTTAGATTCAGCCGTACGTGCAGTGACGACATCGTGGTCACGGCCGCATAGGTAGCAGTGGTAGGCGAGTTTCATTAGGACGAGTATCAAATTCTAACCTCCATACCTAATTAGGCGTATCCCATAACAAAGGGTGTGGCTGAATATAAGAATCTGTGCAGATTACAGAGACGGCTCAACGTCCTCATCTTGTTGAAACTGCCGGACCAATGATGGGTGAAGAGTTAATGGAATATAAAATCTGTAATTTGGAGATGACCTCATTTTTTCGTTCAGATTTTTTGAGTTTGAGTATTGGTGTTTTTTGCGCTTATGAAAAAAATGAGCGAGATTTCTTCAACCTGAATTGAAACAGATCTTCGCAAAATTTTTCATTTGTAACTACGGAATTTATGTTAGGCAGTAAATCTTTTTGGAATTAGTTTTTTTTTTTAAAGCAAATGGAAATGTGATCCCCATGTTATTTTTCTTGCGGGGCAAAATATTTTCTTGCTCGCGAGATATTTTCTTGCATCGAAAAAACAATTGCTCATGTGGCAATTGAAATTTTTACGAGTTAAAAACTAAATACAGACATGAAAAATTCCAAGCAGTTATTGTAATTGTTTGCTATAGTAAAAAATAAATAATTCCTTGGTGTATCAAAATCTTTTGTAAATCATTACTTGGCTCTCCTTTCCACCTTTTATATTAAAAGGGATGGAGGCATCTCTTGCGAGAAGCTTTACTGAGAAAAGTTTAGACTGTGCATAAAATCGTAACGGATAAACAAACTTATGTGTGAGAAATCTGGTGTTAATGCAGCGCATTTTAACTTGATGTTTCTCAGGAGTTTGTTAATGAATAGGATAAGTTTGAGCTCTTTTTTCAATTTTACAGCCAAAGTTTCCTAGCTTCTGAAGTCAAATGTGGCTCCGTGAAGTCTTACCGAAGATAAAGTCAAGCGAGCTTTCATAAGTAATTCCTGACAATAAATTTATATTTTGATTTTTGAAAGATTCTGACAGATAACGATTTGTGCTATATTCTGTTCAGAAAGTTTGAGACAGAAAGATTTTAAATCAACGTAAGATGAATAATAGGGTAAGTTTTAGTGTACAGTTCTGTTTGTTTCTAAAATTCTGTGAAAATGAAGCGACCTACAACCCCTGCCGCGCTTCTGTAAACATTCATGCTGATGGCAATTCTGTAAACGCACATGCGCAGATGCTGCTGGCTATTCTGTAAACCTTCATGCAGATGGCTATTCTGTAAACATTCATGCAGATGGCAATTCTGTAAACATTCGTTCTGATGGCTATTCTGTAAACATTCCTGCAGATGGCTATTCTGTAAACATTCATGCTGATGGCTATTCTGTAAACGCTCATACTGATGGCTATTTGTAAACATTAATGCTAATGGCTATTCTGTAAACGCTCATGCTGATGGCTATTCTGTAAACATTCATGCTGATGGCAATTCTGTGAACGCTCATGCTGATGGCTATTCTGAAACGCACATGCTGATGGCTATTCTGAAACGCACATGCTGATGGCTATTCTGCAAACGCTCATGCTGATGGCTATTCTGTAAACGCTCATGCTGATGGCTATTCTGTAAACGCTCATGCTGATGGCAATTCTGTGAACGCTCATGCTGATGGCAATTCTGTGAACGCTCATGCTGATGGCTATTCTGTAAACGCTCATGCTGATGACTATTCTGTAAACGCTCATGCTGAAGGCAATTCTGTGAACGCTCATGCTGATGGCTATTCTGTAATCGCTCATGCTAAGGGCTTTGTTATAAACGCTCATGCTGATGGCAATTCTGTAGAAGCTCATGCTGAAGGCTATTCTGTAAACGCAGATGCTAAGGACTTTGCTATAAACGCACCGGTAAATGAATCTAAGTAATAACATTATTTATCTCAGTACTACAGTAATTATTTCTCAATTTGACCTTCACTTGTTCAGAATAATCTTCTGACTGAACCGGAGTGAATACCCTCACAATAGGGTATCAATGATAACTATATACATTCATTACAACATCAGTAACATGTGCTCGATTTACCATCACAACAACCAATACACATCATGCAAGCCGTGGAGTCCGTAATTCTTTACATTGCATTGGTGAATTGAGAACCGCGTGATTCAGAGGGCACTTGTCGAGTGTTGAACAAAAGCTTTTAGTCCGACCGTTTAGAAGTGTTAGCTTTATGATCAAAGTGGTTCAATTTATATTTCAGGTAATAGGTTCAACCTTCATGACCTGGTGCAAAAAGATTTATTGTACAGTCCGCAACGTAGCTGTGCCGAGAACCATTGACTCGGCGAGTTAGCGGCGTCTAGGCCTATCGAATTATAAGAATTCATTCACCTTGTAGCCGTCTTAGACAGATGAACTATCATCGTGTCAGTAGTCTCGCAACTTTGTTCCGTAATCAGCCCTTGAAAAGCAACGTCCACGGATTTAAGTAAATTCCACCAGCTACAAACGCTGCGCCTTTTTTACCCACAAGCCAAAGTGGCGTTTACAATGCTTCGGTATTGACAGTAGCCTTAATATGACTGGAAATATGCGTTTTTTTGTATTCATGCTTTCAATAGTATTACAATATCTATAAACGCTCATGAATGGGAATTTCTCTAACTCGTTTAGGCCTGAAATCACACCATGAAGCTAAGAAACACTAATCTCCTACTTCCATTTTTTACGAAGGAAAAGTGCTTCAAGAAATATCGAATTTGCGATCGAACTCATCTATCAAATTGAAGTGTTTTTCCAATCCCTGGAATGAGTGTTCGAGCATTCAATACGCGTTTGTTATCGGAACGCATCTGTCAATGTCAGAACGGCGAGCCAACCAGGCCCTTTCCTTATGATCATTTATACACATGATCCGGTCTTTATTATTGACCGAGCACCGCAATAAATCCACGAGAATTCCAGCGGATATTTTCTTGCTCTAAATTCATGCAAAATGATTTAACTCAGATGTATTGTGACCCAGACTTCGTAGTAAACCTTTTAATTCGGAGAAAAAATTGGTAGGCTGTATAATTTTACAACGTTATCATCGGATGAGTGTAAATACAGTTATACCTATGTAGTCTGATAAGGGTTAATTTGGTGCAATTTGAAACTATTTATTCTTTACATTTGCGTTTATTCTTGTCAGTAAAACGACCCAGATAAAGTTTTAAAGATTTGAATGTTAATATTCCTCATATTTTCATATAGTTTTCCCAACTCTTTGGCTGTCCATTTTTATTTCTGTTTCACCAGACTCGTACAGTTTCAGAAAGGTGCGTTTTTTCAGCGGTGCTCGTAGTACGTGATCCAATTTTCCCTTCACCAAACTCGACATGCGTGCGCTCAAACGAAACGAGGTATTGCAGAATAGATCACTCCCGCAAAACATTGTGTCTCGATCTCTTGTCTATTATTCTTCAGTCCTTCTTCCTTTAATTTTCACTTTAATCTCTATTTTGAGAAATTTTTTCGAAAAAATTCTCCTCACAATTTTACGTTTCAAATAAACTTTTGCATGAGTGTTTGGCACATTAGGTCTTTTTTCGAATGAGTAGCGACAATCCTCATAGAAAAATTCATATTTTCTGCAATATCTTGATTGAATTATCAAGGATGATTATTATTCGTGGTTCGCTAATGTCCTTTTACTTTACTATAGCTAAATAGTTACGCGCATTCAAAAACAATTTTTTTAATCGAAATTCTTTTCTGATAACTTATGTTCTTTCCTCTTCTTGCCCTAGTTTCCTGACGTACTCATGCGCGGTCCCTACGACGTTCGTTGTTTTCTTCCAGGACCTCGCAAGACAAAGGTCAATGTTCTCGACCATGCCTTTCATAAGGCACTGGTAGGAATAACATTATAGCGTCATCAGCCAGTCTTTGCGGGAATATAACATAATCATTCACAGAGGTGAAGGTCAGCCATAGTAATATTCCCGACTATTAGCATCGGACGCAAAGGCCGGTAAAGCTGCAAGTGTTGGGTTTGTGTCTTGGGCCAGGCGAATATTAGACTCCAAGCCTGCCTATAGAGGCGACCTATGAGCCTGTTGCGTGACACGCTTCTGCTCTAGCGGCATGCTTTATGAGCCTTGTGACATGCATGGGCATATTATGTGCATATATGAACATTGTGACAGTCATAGAAAGGTATTATGAGCGTGTATGAGTCGTATTATTGGCGTGGGGATAAGCTTGGAATGAATGAGTCTCAAGATGCATGAGCATACACCGAGAATTTTTGAGACTCAAGAAGTGATGTAGCTGTACATTATCAGTTTACTTGATGCTCTATTACTCTAGATTCATGAAATTTTGTTATGAATTGATAATTATTATTCGCTTCTTTGAAACAGCACCTTTAAAAATTAGTTAACGATATTTAAAGAGTGAGCTTGTGAGTTAATTCCGAAAGGATTTTCCGGTGTGACTGTGGTAATGAATAGCAGTAACAAGGGGGAAAATGAGAGGTCAATAGTGACTGAACTGAGGTTTTTATTGTCAAAAAATATTGTTTAACATCCATTGACATAGATTTACAGGAAAACTGTCTATATACATCAATTAACATGTAGCTCTCCTCAATCGTTAGATTTTAATGCGAACCTAAAAAAGGGATTAACATGTATAACATTTATGCTTACAAATATAATATTTGTAATAGGCTTTTTATTACAAGGATATGCTTCTGGTTTTAAATGATAGGTTTCATTCGCCAAAACAAATCGATATGAATCTAAAAATCGTTGCCAGCAATTACACACATTTTTGAATGAAATTATGGCTAAACTTCGTTATTTAAATTTTCATGCATCAGAGATAATTAGTGCTTATACATCATCCAAAATTTGCTACACATAAATCGAAATGTAATTTAATCCTAAGTTCTGAATACTGGATATTCTTATGCTGCAATGGGAAACAACTTCTCTTACTTCTTAAATTTAATTACCCGACAATTTGAAGCACATATCCGATGATACGTAATACAGCCCGCCATCTTAAGTGTTAAAAAAATAAAGCAGGCATTCACGCCTCTATAGAAACCATCACTATATTGGGTGAATCGATTTCATTTCAGCAAACGTATTTGTGAATATATGGGATGACAGGATATAATTGGTAATCCACAGCTATTTGCTACCATTTTTCCGACTGAATTTCAAAGCTCAGTTTTCCTTCATATACCATACAAGTTATTTATGCAGGACTTTCCTATGAGGTATACTGCAATTATTTTATCTGAAGTTTGTAAGTTTATTACAGTAAATTCCTGAATTATGCGTAATATATCCTAGACCTTATAATACCCATCGATCAATGCCCAGAAATGTAGGACAGCGTCCCTGTTTGATTTCCTGAAGTCAAACTTTTTCTCGTGGTTGATATGCTTTATGTGCCTTGCGCTGCAAATCATCTGCGTTGTTCAGAAAAAATTCCAGCTTGTAGAGCTTCCAGACTGTGATTTGCGATCAGGCTTCGATCGGGAAATAAGAAATTAAAGCGAATCACTCTCATATGAAATAACACGGAGAGAAATACAACAGCAATTGTGAACAAAAATACTTTGCGAAACCACTCCGTCATGTGCAAATAAGACTCGCATCTGCTAGGACTAGTCTCACGGTAATTCGAATCCCTCCTTAAAGATAGCCCTTTTTCTTCCTGTACTTGCAGTTGAACTTCCCTTCCAATTAAGATCAAATTTTGGCCGGGCAGCCAATGGAAAAAAGTCTGCATGGCTCCTCCATGCTGAGCGGCCGAGCTGGAAACCGGGACCACGTTGCTGGGTTTCCTTGAGCTCTTCATTTTCTTGCGTTGCAAAGTTAAATTTGATAAATTAGAAGAGATTTTCACGTCAGTTTTGGAAATTGGGATTCCATCTTTTTCTGCCACAGTTTCTTGCTGTAGGCCTGCAGGGTTTTCTTCTGCGGAAGGAGGAAAAAATTCTATATTAATTTTTTTTAAACAAAATCTTGAGACGGTTGAGTATGAAAATATAAGATTGGGTTTTCTTTTAATCGTCAACATATTCTGGATTTCTTATACAATTTTTTTTTAAATTGCACGTTAAGATGCAGAACAGGAAGAATTCGAAGAAAGTAAATATAAAAAAGTTATGCAACTCAGGCCGAAATTTGAACCCAGACCTTGAGTACACCTTTTCAGGCTCACAATGTGATGCAGATTTTTGCTCGATTATCTCAATTAGGCATGATTTGTCTGTCTATGGGGCCAACGACGCCATGTTGGCTAAACGACCATTAAGGGAGGGTTTTATCAAGCCCCTGTCACACCACAGGCGCTGATCAAATGCTGGCCAGAAACCAAGAACTGGGGCAAGGCTTGATCAAGGGAATTACATAAGCTAATTTTATATAAAGAAGAATAATTGGATATTGGATTCTGTCACGTGAGAATATAGCTGAATAAATTCTGATTGCGATACCAATTAAATCCACGAAGTGCTTTACTTGTTCGCCGAGGAAAAATGTGGTACAACAAAAGTGCTTAAGAATTAAAATCTTTATTAATTTTTGACAATGTGTGTGGATTTTTCACTTACCTCCGCGATGCTCAAACGAAATTAAAATATAATATTGCATTCTGTGTGAGACCTAATATTTTTACATCTATTGCCAGTTAAATGTTCAATAGCAGAAACTCATATTGTTCGTCGGAATTTTGCGTTAAGTTCTTGCTAACTCTGCAGGTCTGAAACGCTCGCAAGAGTCTTTTTTTTTTGTACAGAGCTCAAGTGGGAAGAAAAACTTATGAAAGCTGGCCATCATCCACCATTTACATGAAAGTTTTTCGGAACTATAACGTTGAAATTTGTCACGATAAATAAAAATCTGAAAACTTCTATCTGAAAAATATGTTAATTTAGAAGAAAGCATCCATTTTATTATCATTTCAGTTCATTCGTTGCGCTCACTCTGGACGACGTGTACGGTGACGGAGGCTGGGGACGTGTTGGAGGCGACGCAGCGGTAGTTGCCTTCGTCCCTCTTGGTCACTGAGCTCACTGACAGAATTGACGAGCCTTTCAACGTCTCGACCGTCACGCCCGCCTCTCTGCATGGCAAGGCATCACACTTTGCCAAGAACGCGACCAAATGCGGCATAACATAAAAATTGGATATTGCTAAGAACAAATGTGGCATCACGTTTGGCATCACGTTTGGCAAGAACAAACGTGGCACCACGCCAAGAACAAAGTTGGCAAACCTTGGCTCTGCCAAGAACACGAACAAACCTGATATCATACTTTGTCAGCAAGCGAACAAATGTGGCATCACACTTTGCAAAGAACACGAACAAATGTGACATAACACTGTGCCAAAAAGAAGAACAAATGTGCCATAACACACTGCCAAAACCACAAACAAATGCAGCATCGCACTTTATCATGAACACGAACAAATGTGTCATCACACTTTGCCAAAAAATCGAACTAATGTATCATAAAACTTGGTCATAAACACGAAAAATTGTGGCATCACACTTTACTCAGATCACGATCATCATACTCTGCCAAGAACGTGAACTAACGTGACATCATATTTTGCTAAGAACACTAATTATTTGGCATCATACTAATGTGGCACCTTACATGGCCAAGAACATGAACAAATGTGGCATCAAACTTTGCCAAGAACAAGAACTAATGAGGCACTACGCTTTGTTACGAAAAAGAGTTATTCTGACATTTTATTGGAAATGATTGAATGCGTAATCACGCATATTAACAGAAATGAACAGAAATAAGGTCATAAACACGAAAAATTGTGGCATCACACTTTACTCAGATCACGATCATCATACTCTGCCAAGAACGTGAACTAACGTGACATCATATTTTGACAAAAAATAAACTAATGTGGCATCATATTTTGTCAAGAACATAAACTAATGTGGCACTACGCTTTGTTATGAAAAAGAGTTATTCTGACATTTTAATGGAAATGATCGAATGCGTAATCACGCATATTAACGGAAATGAACAGAAATAACATCGCACTTTTTGAGAGAGAGGAGAAAATACAACATAATTCTGTTTAACGTAAATGGCTGAATGTTTCACAATTCTGTGTCATTTAAATGAACAAATACGACAACATACTGTGAAATGGATGTGACAATTAGAAATTTCCTTCAAGGAACGTTTATATTTATTTCTATTGATCCTCAGGAACTTGTTATAGTACTTATATATCTCTAATAGTAATAGTACTAATATATCTGTATATGCAACTTAAGCACAAATGTGGAGTCAGCCCACCGTCGCGTTATAGATACACTATATTTATCAGCATATATTTCCTTAATTTACATCCAATATTCGTTTACTGAGATATATAAACATTTTTCAGGCAGCGCTTACATATAGGCACTTTGGCCTATTGCTTCTATTAAAAAACTAACACTTAGGCATAGCATTTTATAATTCTGTTTTCCCTGAACGAGAAGACGTGAGACGGCGGCTCAGTAATGTCTTTAAGAGAACTTACGTATCGTAATTAATCATTCTGTCCTCCCTGAACCAGAAGACGTAAGACGGCGGCTCAGTTATGTCTTTAAGGACACAGACAAGTCGCAAGGAAGAGCCGCTGTGAATGTAGCGCTCAGACTCGCCCTTGATCACAGCCCAAGCCTCTGCAGGGCAGGGAGATAATGTTCCATTAAAAGCAAGCTTACATGAGCAGGTTTTCAGAAATGCAATGATTTAATAAGTTACAGAATCATGTCAAGTTTGTCAAAGCAGCTAGGCTCTCATGTGTTGAGGTTCTTAGCCTTGAATAAATGATGGAAAATCATGTCATTCTAATTTATTCAGTAAATAATTGGCTTGAAGTTTATGAAGCGAATTAATGTATTTTGAAGCTTTAAACTAAAGTTCAGAAATTTTGAGTATATATAAAGCCACCCCAATGTTTTTTTCATGTCCATTTGTTTTGCATATAAAAATATATCTCAAAGAAGTAATAAAAATCAAGAATTACATGGAACATACCTTTAACTTTAAGATTAACCATGAGTGCTTGTGGCGGGTGAGACGAGACCTGACACTCGTACTGGCCGGCGTCAGTCTGCTGGACCCAGCGCAGTGTCAGGATCCAGTCGCTGGCGTCAGGCGCTACCTTCACGGCCACGCGGTCGTCAGACGTGTACACGTGACGGCCTACGGTCAGCAAGTGGTAGTCTCTTCGTCGCACCCAAGATACCTTAGGAAACAGCAGACATTTTTTTAGCTCTTTTCATTGCTCATTTATGATGTTTATTTAGAACTCCTTTCTATCATTCTGACTGCATTTTTTTCTTTAAAGGTTATTTTGCTTCTCTTTTATAGTTTTTTCAAGACACCTTAGGAAACAGGAGAAATTTCATTTTTTCGGAGCTCTTTTCACTTTTCACTGTCAATTTTTGGTGTTTATTTTAGAGCTCTTCTGTAATGTTTTGTATTTCTGCTCTTTCTGACTGTATTTTTTTGTTGTTCTTCTTCATTGCTTATTTTACTTCTCTTATAGTTTTTTCAGTCAGTTATACTCCTCGTTTTTACTGTTATTTTTTACAATGCGCTCAATACTGTTCCTTTTTAATCCATTTTTATTTTATTTTTACTGCTCGTCTTTTCATGGTTGGCATTATCTATCGGGGCCAGTGCTATTTTAAATTTTTCAGTGAAGAAATATTAATAATAAATATATAATTATTACTAATACATCAAATCTTACCTCATGCAGTTTCTGTAATATTTATTGATCAATTATTAGTAAATTCTCCTTCTTCCAACTATAATAGAAAGCTATTTTTCATACGAACAATAATATCTTTTATTGGAGAATTGATACAAACGCAGCTAATGTAAAACAGTTTTACTGTCACTCGGTGGTATCTTTTTCTCACTATTTTCTTTACCGACACTGTTTTCTTTGCTGAAAAATGTAGAAAAATATTGACTCTCAACAATTTTTCAAGCTAAAAACAAAGAAAAAACGCATCGCGGAGCGTTATTTCTTTTTCCAGAGACTCACTCGAACGGAGCTTTGAAACGGCAATAACTTCTTGTAATTGCACTCGATATTAACAACAAAAACCGAGAATTGTAAGGCTATCACAGAATAACTCATTCTTTTTCTGAACAAATCATGCAGGATAAATGATTAATTTACTATCTATTTCTGTTTAATTTGAATTGATTTGATGATAGCGATCGAAGATTCGATTCAGTATGCGGATTCTAAATTTTTTCACGTTGTAATGGGTATTTCTTATTAAAAATTTAGAGCAAATTCCATCTAATTCCTGTCAATTCAACTTTTTTTATTTTTTCGCCTTAATTTTCAAATTAAAAAAATTCATTTATTCGGACGTAGCAAGAATTCTTGATTTTCAACGTCAATTCAGTTAATATAACGAATTAATGATGATCGTCTGAAATCAAATAATTTTTATTAGCACTCTAATTTCACCATGCTTTGCTAAAAAATTGTTAAATGCTGAAAGATTATTTAAATTTTATAATATCTGGCTTTAAAACCATAGAATAAGGGTTCCATGGTTTGAAAACCATAGAATAAGGGTTTTCGGGGTTTTAAAGCCAAACCCATGGTTTTCAATCGGTAACTTTCTTCCCAGGCGTTAACTCTAGCTCACTCACAAAATTGTGTGGGTCACATTGTCCAAATAATAACACACACAAGGGCAAATCATAACCAGTACACTCGGGAAGCCCTTTCAAGTTAATAAATAACCATCATGAGCCTACCACGCGAATTAACTTTCTTCAGGGAATTTCTAGAGTCTCGATAAAATCGCATCGGATTCCAATCAGCGGCCGCGTTCAGAGAATTCGCGAGCGTTAGCAGTTTTGTAGCAGCCTTGTGTTTGTCTTAGGAAATTAGAGAGGCGTTAGAAAACTGCCGTCGAAGCTTTCTTCAATCCGTCACTGTCCAACTCTGAGTGATCTCAACTACCATGAAGAAGACGTGAATTAATTATTCTTTTCCTCGAAGGATTTTCTAAGCGCGATATCATTTATTTAACGAAGCTGATATTATTTAGGCTGATGTCATTTAGTTGATAAAGATTCGTTCATTAAACTCAGTATCAATTAATGAATTAGATGGTTATTAAGGGGTTTACAAGTGGTAATTAATTGCTTCCAGCGTTTAATGGCATTTACAGAGATTGCTGAACAACATTGATAGATTAACTTTAGGTCGATCATCAATATTTACATATACTTGTTATCGACTTGACTGCATAAATTGTTAACAGCACATCAAAGTGTTTTTAGAGACTATATCCAAACCTCCATTATTGACCGGTTGGGACAGTGAAGAAATTTTAGTTTAGTTTACCCTACACTTATTTTTCAAAAAATTAATATAATCAAATAAGTGCTCAGACTTTTTGCTGCGTTAAGTTTATAATTACCAACGTTTCATGTTAACTCGCAATTGCTACATCGTGTAAATTTAATTGTAAACTCAATTCCTTGAAATTTTTGAGCAATTTCGCAAAATTTTTTGCAAGAATCGTTTCTGTAAAAAAAGCATTCAAGTTACATAGTTTTGTCATCCTGTTTTACGAGCAAATTTGCGTTTGTCTCAAACACATTAGCGACATTTAGCACTGATACAACTATTGGTTTGGCCAAACTAGGTCAGGACAACCCATTCAATGGCAAAAAAATTATCTAGGGCGATTAGGACAGAGTTTCATTCATTCCTCTGAGTAGTCATATTGCGTATAATTACAATTGAGCGAAAATTGTGCAGAGTTAGCAGATATCCCTACACCAACTATGCAAATTTGAGAAAACAATTCCAATGAAACTTTGTACTGCTCACTGACCCTCGAACGAGCTTTGTTTAAACTTTGTCTTTATCCAGGACATCGGAAAACAAAACAACATCAATTTAAATTCTAAGCTGCAGTCTAATAACTTCTCGATACTAATAGTTGATTGAGAGGTCAACTTATTTTAAAGTTGGCACGCCACCGCAATGCTGATAAAAAATTTAAATAGATAATAATTTTTTGTTTACACACAATCGCGATACTAATAAAAAATAAATGGACTAACTAAATACTAATCATAACGGTCAATAAAAATTACTGTTAAATCTGTGGAAAAATTAAGCAACTGATCATTGCTTCTAATAAAGAGGCCCAATCATAGTGGTAATTAATAAAAGGTAAATTAATTTATTGTGGTAAATTAAAGACTCTTATTCTTGTGGTTAATTGAAAGTTTTCATCACTGCATGTGGTTGATCAAAAGTAGTTATCGCTGTGGTTAATTAAAAGTACGAATTACCGTGGTTAATTAAAAGTACTAATCACTGTGGCTAATTAAAAATACTAATTTGGTTGAGATTAATTAAAGTAACTAACCATCTTGGTTAATTTAAAAACGAATCATTGTGGTTAATTAGAAGGTCTATCCACTGCGGTTAACTAAAGTAATAAAAGTAAATATTCCTTGTGATTCATTAAAAGGACTAATCATTGCGGTTAATTAGAAGGTCTATACACTGCGGTTAACTAAAGTAATAAAAGTAATTATTCCTGATGAATCATTAAAAGTACTAATCATTGTGACTGATATAAAAGTACTAATCATTGTGGTTAATGCAAATAACTGACCATGCCCTCAGCCAGGGCGCCGGTGAGGGTACAGTGTAGCTGGGCGGTGGCCCCGACCTGTGCCTCANACCATGCCCTCAGCCAGGGCGCCGGTGAGGGTACAGTGTAGCTGCGCAGTGGCCCCGACCTGTGCCTCAACCTCGGTGTGGTTGCCCTGCAGGAACAAGCGGTACTGCGAGTCGTTGGTCCGAGCCTGACCTGTGAACCTGCTACCCATGAGCAGGCTGTTGGGGCCTGGGGCTCCGTTCACGGCCATGCCTGAGATATGGTGGTGAAAAAGTAGTATTTCAATAGATTATTTGGGATATTTTTGGTAAACAAAGACAAATTAAATCCATTACTTATATTTACCAGCACCAAGCGAATGCTGATGATGTATGGTGATGAAAAAGTATTATTTCAATAGAATCTTTGAGATATTTATGATAAACAAAGACAAATTAAATCCATTACTTATATTTCCCAGCACGTACCAAGCGAATGCTGATGAGATATGGTGGTGAAAAAGTAATATTTCGATAGATTCTTTGAGATATTTTTGGTGAAAACAGATAATTTAAATCCATTCATTTTATTTTTTGGCATCAACGGAATGCTGAAGAATTAAAATTGAAAACTAAGCTTTACATTTTCTGAGTAAATCATTATATCTTTGAACTACTGCGGCTCGTGACATTATCTGCCAAAAGTTTATATTTTGGGATAAATTGCATGATTTTTACGTAGGAATATAATGTCTAAGACGATATCTTGGCAAAAAGTTTAATATTTTAGATAAATCGAACAATTGTCCCTGGGCCATATAAAGATATTAATTTTGTTAAGAGAAGTAGAAAGGCTCTTGATATTATATGACAATAAAAAACGTCTGTTTTGAAGCCATTGCAACACTGCTGAAAATCATGTGAGACGTGTAATCAGTAATTCTAGTGCAGAAAAAAGTGAAATTGAAGATTAACTTCAATCGCTAATAAATTATCGTATTGATGAAAATTATTATCACAATAGTATTATCAATTTATCCAAACGAATCATAATAAATAACCGTCTGAGTAACCGTCTGAACGTTAAAATCAGGACAGCTCCTATTGATTTCATAATTCGAAGCATTCATTACCAACAGAAAATTTCCAGTTTAATTACAGTTTCTAACATCGCCAATCATTTTCTTTTCATCAAAAAATAACCTAATCTGCTCAGCGACCAGTATAATTGAGCGTCCCGGCAGCCATTGCCTCAGCAGCAATCAAGTTTTTGCCTTGATTTTGACAACTTTTCATCCAATATTCTTTTTAATGAATATCTTTTTTTACTTGTAACCCTGCAATCTCATCACAAAGCTCAACTCAAGCAGGTTAGCCAAAATTTGAAATTAGTTTTTTACGAAATCTGTGCCTTTATTTTCGGCTCAAACTCAATATTCGAGGCTTTGTAACGTGTTATCAACCTATTCTTACACACAAGTAAATAGGTATTTTCATACGAGGACGTGTACTTTAGTTTATCCAGAGACTTCGTTCCCTAATTTTAAACAAAAGCGTGTTAAAGAATTTTGAACCTAGTCTTCAATATTGTAGTATACAGGTTAACACACTTAGACGTGGCATTCTACATTGTAATAAGGGCGTTCATTTCATATAATATTCATTTCGTTAATTTCATCCTATAAAACATCATGAAAGGCAGCATGAAGAACCAATTGTTTTTAAATTATTATTTAAAAAATTTTATCCACAAATATTCACTTTAGTAGTCTGGATCACAGCCATTAAATTGTAGTGCTCAATAATGTATCAAAATTACCAGCGAACATTAAATATAATATTACTAAAAACTAATACCAATTTATCACAATCGCCGAAACTTCATTCATTTCTGAGCACCAAAATTTAGGCATAATTTTATAGTTTAGGTTCTGATTTATTATAACGTGCGTATCATAAATTAAACCTTATAGGCGTAACTTTTTGGGACATTAAAATCAAATTTCTCAATTATTTGTTTCAGAGCGCAAGGCCCGAGTGATTAATCCGTACGAATTTCTCTAAATCATATTTTTCATATCTCTGCGTATTATTAATCCACTAAAAACAATTAGTTTCCTTATCTATTTTGTGGGACCAAAGAGAGTTGAATGTAATACAAATTTCAAACAAGTACAGACAAAAATACAAGCAAAAAAGTGCCCGTTTTGCTTATTCACCCTGACTAATCCCCCTACAATGCCAGCAATAACCGTATTTTCACGATCGATTGTAATTTATCGCCCATAAAGACCACGTTACACCGCCGGTGCACCGACCACGCCAATTACCGATGTTCTTTTTTGCCTTATTTAACATGTGTAGCAACGCGAAGTTCGCGCTTAGACAAGACGTTATCCAAATTATGATGCATCTTATACCATTGTGAGGGCCATTCTAACGCATTTTGTTGCGGCAAAAGTGCGTATCAGTGTTTCGGGCCGAAAGTGTGTCACTATTTAGACAACACATGACACGTTCACTTTTCTGACCGGACGCGTGCCAGCAAAGCTCGACCAAAGTCTTGTTTACCGCCCCCGAGGTCGACCCGCTTAGTTGACTGCGTGACTATGGCGTCACGCAATGCAGTCATCGCTTCCAATGTGACGCCGGACTGCGCATAAACTGCCCGTAAGCTCGTCGTGATGTGGAACTACGCTGGGACGTGACCATGAGGGCGACCTGGATTATTGACCCAGTTTGTGGAGAAAGTTTGTGGATCCAGTGTGTGGACCAAGATCGTGGACCCAGTTTGTGGACCCAGTGAGTGGACCAAGATCGAGTACCTAGTTTGTGGACCCAGTGAGTGGGCTTAGTTTGTGGCCTAAGTCATGATCTGTTAGAAAATATAACAAGTTTAAGGACCAAGTTTTTAGACCTAGTTCCTGAACCCGGAGTTTTGACCCGATTCATTGTTCGTAAACCCAGTTTATGGACCTAATTTGCTGACCTAGTTTCTGAATATGAATGGTGCCGTTAGGATCACATGTTTGTAGACTTGAGTATTATTTTTATATTGAACGAATATGAGAGCTCTGACAGCGAGATTTTAACTTGCTATATTATCAGCTTCAAATATACCGAAAAAGCCTATAATTTATGATACGCACGTTATAATAAATCAGAACCTTTTGTGAATTTGAAGTCAAGTTCGCTCGCATAGTTTAGTACTCTCTAAAATTAATGACCCCTATTTAACTGTTGTTGATTTCAAATTTCATTTGTTGTGGTTCGAGAATAAAATTCTTATTAGCAAAATTCAGCATTTGATTTCTACATATTCCTAGTGTTTATTGACGGATTTCAAAACGTAGTTTTCGAAACTTATCATCACATGCTTGTAGAGAACTTAATGTTCTTCCTCATTTTATTCGAGTTTCTTTCCTTCCATCCTCATTAGTTTGCAGCTTCAGTTCGCTATTTCTCATCAACTATTTGAACAAAAACTAGTATCGGAATTAAAGTGATCATTTTACTGTCACTTCGACTGTCAGTGTAGTATGAACACAGAGCAGCTACATTCACGAATGTTATTTTATCATTTGTTTATTCGCTTCCTTTACTTTGTTGCGTTGTTTCAGCGTTACATGGATAGCTACTACTCTGCATATACTTTGCATTCCAATTAATATTTCCTGCAATGGTTCGCATTAAAATTTCCTCAGAAAAAAATCAATTTATAGCCTCACATTTGTAATCCTTTAAATGTTGTCGCAAAACTGAAGTCTGATAGAATATTGAGTGTATAGTTTTTCACATCTTAAGAGCGTGCCTTGTCACGCTAACAAGATAAGAGACCCCCGGTGAAATACAAAGCGGGTAAAACGGCACTCACGCGATCCTTGCATCAAATGAAATTTCTTTAGGAACAATTTTTATCTGAAAAAATGCAAGCAATATTGTTTTCAATCGGTCCGATATACTTCTTGATTGCAATAGTCTAAACTCTTGCGCTTCAAGTCTGGCAAAATCAATTGTATTCGCAAGATAAAATTGCAAATTGTATCTTCAGTTAATTGTTCAATCTCTAACGATTTATTTGAGAACTTCGCGATAATTTATATTTCACTAAATATTTTACTGAGTTCAACAGGTTATTTTTTTCAAATTTTTGATTCACGGAGGTTCAATGTAATTTGAATCAAAACGATTTTTCCAGGATTAAGTTTCTGAAAGGAAACGCTCTAAAAAGTCGAATAATTTTTTATCGAGACAAAATTTAGTTTATAATATACCATCATTATACCCTCATCGGTTAATACTAAATACCAGTGGACATTCATTAATTTATCATAACAGGCTGACATATTGCCGATGAAAGGTTGCCCATAAACTTATGAATTATTATGAACCTGTCATATATAGTTATATTGAACGTATGAGCAACGAACTAGAGACTCACCTTTGCATTGGACCAGCAGAAGCCACCGTAAGAAGAGCAGCAGTCGCACCCACGTCAGCGAAGTGTGTTTGTATAAAACCATTTTTTCCAGTCACTCGTTAATCCGCAAAGAAGCTTTCGATGGCCACGCAGAGCGCTAAAATTTTCAAGAGTCTGATTTACAATCGATTTTTTTAAATGAGCACTAAGAAAGGAACTAGAGAAGAATGAACGTTCATTTTCGGTTGTAGCATAAACGCCAACAAAAGAATTTACATTTTATTTCAACTCTCCTCGTAGTTTATATTTTAATATATACATTAAAGCCCCTTTGAGAAATTAACAACATGCTCTCTCTGGCTGTACTAGTATTCAATTTCGATCACCTTAATTATTTTGTAACTCATAATCATCTGAAAAAGAGTAAAATTATGATGTTAAAAAGTTCATACGAATTCGTACGCATTAAACCCAACCATTTGCCTAGTATTTTCAAAAATTTTGTTTCATTACAAAATATTTCCTTCCCCATCAAATTTTCATCTTTAATGTACTTACGGCGAACAAGATTGTTACAATCCCTAAAACTTGTATTCATACTCGTATGAAACGGCAGACATTTTCAGACAAATTTGTCACGTAAGACTAATATCTTTTGGTAATATTATAAAACACGGCGTTCGGCAAGCAAAACATCTCAGGAATTTATCAATAGCGCTGACTTCAACACTAACAAATATGAATAGGAGTTCCGCATTAAAACTAACACATAAGACTAAACATTTAGCTTTACTACTGGCACGTAAAATTTGAAATTAAACATTAAAACTAATACTAGAATTTTTTCGTGTTCTCTTACACTAACATTGAGAACTTAGCTCCAATGCAAATGTTAACATTTGTAATTTACACCAAAAATTTTGCCGTAACACTAACGCTTAGAATTTAACGAATTCTAGATACTAGAATTAGTAGGAATTATGCGTTAAGAATAATTCAAATTTTGATGACTTTGTTTCAAGAATAACACTAATTACCGGAATTTAACGTTCACACTAACTCTTAAATGTAGATATTAATCGTTTACACCAACACTCAAAATTTAGCGTAACCATGCAACGCTTCATATGGCTTGTGAAACAATCTGAGACAAAATCAATGAAGGCTCCAGAATTCTAGCGCAGAGCACTTCACGTATCAGATAGCCCTTCCTCCGTCTTCGGGTCGATCATGAGTGGAACCACAATATTTATTAACGTAAATCGATAAAACCCAGTCAGCTGTCACCACATCCATCACAGTGAATGTCATGCTGGAATATTAGCACTTTTCACGCACGTGGTAATTGCAGTCTAAGCTTTCCAGTAACAAGACAAAGTATGTCTCAAGAAACAATGTTTATTTGTACAACATGTTTTCTTTCTAAAACAGGTGGCGTTTTTACAGATTTACCAAATTAATTTAATATGCTGAATTTAATTTTTGTAGCACTGATTATCAATTAATGAGGGTAATTATAACACGCTTCAAATTAAATTCGAAGTAAAATTAATTTTAAACAAGTTGGTTGATCCCGTTGACCGCAAGAGCTGGTTTTAATTTTATTATTTAATTTAAGATTATTCCCACATATTTCCCCTACAAAATAAGGAATAAAAAAACTTGACTTTTTCAGCATTCCCGAGCATGAGTCTGGAATCTAAAAATTGATATTCGTGCTAATAAGGAGCGCGTTTGCAAATTGTTTGACAAGAGTGATTGCGGTTCTACGAGCATGATTGAGAAAATAACTGAAGAAAAGAGTTCGTGATTTACAGCTACCATGATTTACGGCAGTGTTCTCAATGATGAGAGAATCACAAATGCACACGAAAGCAATTACTACCAGCAGGGAATGACCATCAAACAATTATCATTAAGTTTTATATGACCAAAAATTCCATTTATGGACTTCTATATATTGAAAATGCATATCGCTGTAGAACTTAACATTATTATTCCCACATACACTATACGTGCATTGTCAACGTGAAAAATATCGTAATAAATTCTCTACACGTGTCTTTTTCCAACGATCAATGCTAGGAGACTACACTGTTAAAATATTCAGCGATATTTTTTTGTCTTCGTCAGATATTAATGACGTTCCAATGTATAAGACATCTGTGTTTTCTTCTCGGCAATTTGATAAGAAAATATATGTCATCAAAATATCGGTCAATCTATCTTGGATTCATTTGGGCAGGGCAACTATTAACTATTTCTCAATATTGATTTTCTTCGTATAAATAAATAAAACAACAATACAAGTTCAAGTAACCCCTAATGGGGATAAAATGAATTCTTCGTACAATCTCATTAAAACTTTAATGCATCAATTCAGCATCTGGGGGAGAATTGTAAACTTTCTTATAAGCTGAGGCAAGAGACGCTTGCCTGCCGCTAATACCGTAGTTTTTCTTCGCTACGTACGTGCAACAATATATTAGATAGTGCAACATAATGTTAGATAATGTAACAATATGTTAGTTTGTTGACCTATATATGAGAATTTGCAATAATATAATAGATTTTGCAACAATATAATAGAATGTGCAACAATAAATTACTATTAGATTATCCAAAAATATATTAGAGAGTGCAACAATATATTAGATAGTTCAACATATGTTAGAGAGTTTAAAATACATTAAATTGAGCGCAATATATTAGATTGAGCAACAATATATTTGATTATGCAACAACATATTAGAACGTACAGCATTACCTATATTAGATCATGCAACAATATATCAGATTTCAGATCCATGAAATACAATTACGATAATATTTCTGCACAATACATCGGTTAACAATTAACACTGCACTGGATTTATTAAGGTCAATGCTCAATATATCGGTTAACGATTAGCACTGCTCGAGATAAATTAAGATGTCCACTCAATATAGCTATAATCAATAAATTAATCATAAACGCCATATCCTGTATGCGATCAAGTTAGGCTATCAATAATTCTAGCTTCTATGTGAACTCTGCTCAATTTATTATTCGATTCGATTTCAATAAAAGTTTTAACTTAACCACAGCCCATGAATGCTCCAGGGATTTTCTTCTGATATTGTTTAGAATATAAGTCTTTGGAGTTCGTCATTTTTCAATATTAAAATATCGTTGCCGTTGCAGGGAATCTTACTACTGAACTGAACATTCTATTACAGCGCAATTTTTCTTTATGAAATTTGAAAATTCATCATTAAATCATTTTTTTAATTTTGTGCCGCTTCGGTCGAAATTTTCTTAATAATAATATGAATTTGATGGCAGCATTCTGTTTGATATCAATCTGAGCTGACGACACAATCATTCTAAATATTATTTCGCAACAGCCGATGATATTTTCTTATTTAATTAATCTAACTTTAGCGACGTCACTCTTTTTAATACTAAACCTAAGACGTAGAAGCATTTTATATTAATAATATTTATTCTAATCTACCAAGGCTATTCTTAATATTAATCGAAAGAAGCCTATTCAAGTCTTGTTAATAATGACTGGGAACTGCTGCCGTATGTATAGTATATCCACGTAATAAAAATCTGCAGCCTACGAAGCAATTCCTCGTGTAATCTCAAGCTATCCTCGCATTAATTTTAATCTAATATCAACATGACATTTATGTGGATTTTATCATACTAAAAATACGTTACTGCGATAAGTTTTTCTAAAAATTAATTTGAACTTTGCGAGGAAAAAAACTAACATGAATATTGATTGAGATTACAGTTAGCGAGGTTGGTACGCTGTCCGCTATAATAACGTAGGGACAGTAGATATTTATGGTATCTTTTATCAAGTAGAACATTGTGATTTGTCATAAAAATTAACCGTACAGTATCAGAAATTTATTTCATGGTATGAAAGATCAGTGAACGCATGTATGCCATCATTTTCTGTACGAACCAAAATTTACGCGCTAACGAATGTACGAATTTCGTGCACGAATTTACACTTAAACCTTTCTGATAAGCGAAGGTTTATCAATATCCAGGAGATAATAAAATATGCAGATTTTCAGCGTTCTCAAAGCCTAGCATTTAACCGATTAGCTAATGAACTGCTTATTGGATAAAATTATGATTAATGCAGTCACCATGTAACATGTTCAACACGTTTGTGTTTCATTACAGATAACCAGCAACGCTTAATAATTTAATACTATTTGATCAGCAATAACGCTTGTTATAGAATGAACCTCGTTACCTTGATCAGTAAACACATCATTATATCCGCAAACATTCACAATGTACCTACGAAGGCTGAACTTCTCTTGCTTTTAATTTTGTAAGAAGTATGTTTTTCATTAGCTTCACTTACCATTGCGAACCAGAATGTGAATCTGAAGATTTTTTCGTCTCGATGATGTCATTTCCAGCTGATGGAGTGGGCAAAACCTCTAGACTGAATGTTGGAAAAATGCTGCTATTGCTTTAAATACGAAAGAGCGTCACTATTTCAATAACATGACCCATTCAGTTTCGTGAGTGATGAATTGGCTTGCATAAAGGAAAACTACGCTGAATAGATTGTCCAGTGTACGTATTGTAATTATTTAGTTTTATAGTTTTATAATTTCTTGTCAAATTAATGCGTATTCTTTTCAGATTCATGACCAAAATAGTGGAAGCAGGAGCAGACGTAGTACTGATACACCATTTTTCTGGGCTAAACTGGGTCAGGAGGACCTACACAAGGGCAAAAATTACATCGTTATTTGGACAAAGTCTCACACATTTCTAAAAATGTATAGCATGATGCACTTGAGCATGAGACATCCTGTGAACTGTACAGCTGAGACCGCACCCACCACCTCCTACAGAACAAACTCCTATATGAGGTCTATACCTAGACCTGCAGTATTATGTCCTATTTGCTCTGATATAGGATGCTGCTTGCAGCATGTTCAGGTACACATATAAAAAATATAACTCAGTACTCACTGCAGTGAGTGGCAGAGAGCGCATTTTCTCGTCGACGAAAACTTGAAGTCACTGACAGACAGACGGACGGACAGACGGACATGACGAGCACAATAGCGCCTTTTTCCATAAATGAGAATATGCGCTAAAAAGGCCCAGAAGGTGAAATCAGGAGTCAAACATGAGAAAGAACGAACTGAAATAATTTTTTATATTGTACATTAAAAAGTGTATGGAGGACATTTTTTTACATATTTCTGGAGGATATTTTAGAAATTTGAAGCCTTAAATTTATGGATATCATGCACCAGTTTGTGTCTATGTATAGTACAGCCTGCAGTTTGGCATGGAATTGTAGCATTTCTGCTGGTTTTCGAGCATCAAGAATGATGAATCCTTTCCGCAGTAAGCAAAGCAATCAACTCGCTCC